ATTCAGAGGCCGATTTACTATGAACCAAATGAAGCTTAATTTTCAGGGCCCGTCATACAGATCCCTTCCAAGGCTGTGGGACAAGTCCTAGCAATATTTTTTTTTTTTTTTTTTTTTTTTAAGTGTGATTCCAAAATTGTATACACTTCAGGCACCACAAAACAGAGCTCTACTTTGGGCATGCCTATTAAGGAAACATTGTGATATTGTGGGAAAGGTACTATTCAGAATGTCTAGAGACTTTGCTTCTGTCTATGTTTAGCACTAACTTGCCAGATATCCTTTAAAAAGCATTTAAACTTTTAAACTGAACTTCAGTTTGTCCATATATGAAATGATACTGGTAATTAACCTATTTTGTCTTCTTCTTTGAGTCATGTCATAATCACCTGAAATTGCATTCCAGTAATACAAAATCAGAAAGTTCAGAAATAATTAATAATTTACTGAAAAATGTTAAAATTAGAAGTGTTTAGAATTAGTGTTGTTAAATATGAGGCCACTGTTACCCTCCCACCAGTCAACAAAGCCAGCAGCAGAAATCTCTTAAAATTCTGCCTAACTCAAGTCTCTGTTTCTCCTACAGAAGAAGTTTCACAGTCCTGCCCTAATGAGAAGTGTTCTTTAATCCTGGATTGCAGTGGATTTACCTTTTTTGACTATTCTGGAGTCTCCATGCTTGTTGAGGTATTTATGGAGCTTGTGTTTAGAACTGTTTCTTCCCTTTTGTTCAGTAACAGGGGTTTTCACCACCTTCTCTCTGTAGCCTTGAGCCTGCTTGTTGCGATACACATCTCACCCCATTATTTGCAAAGGACGTAGAACTGCATGCCTCCCATCACTGTAGATTTGTTTTCAGGAGATCCTATTCAGCTTCTAGTTGTATGTATGTGTGAGGGTCAGGGCTAAGAATATTTGCATGGGGTAGTCAGAGAGAACAGTACATAGACTTGAGATACAGTGGGCATAGGATCTCCTAGGCAGTCAATTTACAAGGATTCTAGAAAGGAGAAAAGCCCATTCCAGAGCACAGGCTGCATAAGCAAGTGCCTTGATGATGGCAGGAGGTTTTCTCTCACATTACGGTTGGGTACAGTTTGGCCTAATACCATTCCTGGTCTCACAAGCAGTGCCCAATGCAACGGCTTTTCTCTGTTCTCTCAGGCAATAGTGCCTCTTTCTCTACCCTGTGATCTCCATGTGGTCTCCATGATCCAGGTATGCAAAAAATAAAACTCCACTCATGGATTTAAAACTGACATAGCTTCCAAACCCCATTTCCACAGCTAGAAGAACACCTAATTTTGTCAATTCACAGAAATCTCAGACACTTCTAAGGTTTTTTTTTTTTTTTTACCTCCTTCTTTTTTTAGTAAATACTAAGTCAACAGGGAATTCACCTTCTTTCTTATTTCTTTTTGTTCTTTCCCTTAATACCCTGAATTGGTGGTGGTGGGACGTCTTGAGGGTGGGGCAGCATCTGTTCCTCAGTTTCTTCAGTCCTCTGCCAGCTTCTGAGCCTGCGAATTGGCTCATCTCATCTTCAGGTGTTTACTTCCCAGAGGTTTTCTTACTCAGACCACCTAGAGCCTCCCTGTGTGGCTTGACATTGAGCCAACTACTTAATTTAAACCTTATGGAAATTTCTGGAGTTCTTTTGTCACCCATTGATCTCTCCCTGAACTCTGGTTCTCTCTGTGCAGCTCAGGGAAGCTGCCACATTTTTATTAGGTCCCCCTCATCATGCCAGGGCCCAGAAACTGCTTTGCGGTAGAAAGCTACCATGATCAGAGGGCTCACCCCATTTTTTCCCCCTTTCTCAGGAACCTCAGCTGCCCTGTGCTGCCCTGCCTGGTGCCGATTGTCTAAACATGGTTGTTGTATATTTTTGTCCAGTTGTGTACTTCTTTATGGAGGAGGGGATAATCTTGTATTAGTTACATATCATGGTCAGAAAGCGGAAACCAGACATTGACTTTTAAAGACCTTTTCAGATCCTTGAAAAGGTCTTATGTTGTGGACTTGTATTGTTTTCTTGTGGTGTAGTATACTTTGTGTCTCTATTCGTTTATATCTTAAATTTACTTTGAAATGTCCAGCCTTTCAAACTCATGATAGTACAAAGGTCAACATTAGTATTGCTTTCCTACGAAGATATGGGTGGGAGTGTGTGGAGGGGAATTGCTTAGTATGTGGAAGTCACAGCATAGTCCCAGCTGCATCACACTAGCTGAGGTGTGGGGGAAATCATCTCACTTGTCTGGATCTCAGTTTATTCATTTTGTAAAAATGAGGCGGCGATTTTGTTTCAGAATTGGCAGATATTTCGAAAATAAACAAATTGTTTAAAACAATTGAAGTTTAAGTATCAGAGGCCTGAAATCTAGTGGCTATTTTTAGCAAGTCACCCTTTCTCCCCACATAATGTTTTCATTTTCTTGTGGTTCACTATAAAACCTTTGCACAGTTGGACTTAGGATTCAACCTGAATACTTCATGTTTTCTTCTAGCTGAAACTAAATTGTAAACACATGGTCCCTCTTCACAGGAGGGCCTCTTGTATTGGGCATTTTTATTTACTCTGTGTTCCTAAAGTCTACAAGAGTCTCTTAAAGTTGCGTGTTTAAGGCTCTTCTGGGGTGCTCATTGAAAATGCAGTCTTCTGCGTTCTGATTCTGATCTAGGAGCTTCATTTTAAACACCCATAGGTGATTCTGATGCAGGAGGCTCAAGGATCCTATTTTGAGAAACACTAGACTAGGATTGTTTTTTTTTAAACTGGGAAAGGCCAGTATATATGTGTGTGTGTGTGTGTGTGTGTGTGTGTGTGTGTGTGTGTTTGTTCAATTGCATTTTAAATTGGTTTCTGAAATTATTAGCTTCCTTCTCTAGATATTACAAACAGGACTTAGGGTTAATAAAGAAAGCAGGAGAAATGATTACCTACTCTCACTGAGTTTAGGATCCACGGCTGACAATTCAGAGAAATTCAAACAATCTTGGCACTGGGCATGTTGCAAAAAGACTTATTTTTCATCATTCATCGTAGTGGTTTTAAAGATCTGTACACTGGAATGACAGGATCAATCAACTGATGCAATTTATTTTTAGATTGGCATAAAATGACATTCCCTTAGCCAGGTGTGTTCTATCTATATATACAAAACCAGCAGTTTTGTATCAGTTTGCCCTTTTAAATTTCCTTGTTATTCCTATTTTCTTTATTTCATTATGGTTACAGTAACAGCATGATCTATGTTAAGAATATAGACTTTAAAGATAGACTAAGCCTGGTTCCAAATATCATCCATATACTAGTTCTGTGATCTGGACTTAAGTGTTTACTTGCTTTTCTGTAAACTGGAAGTAGAAATACCCCCTTCAGCAAGTTGTTGTGAGGCTTAAAAATGATGTATTGCA